AATGGGGGTATGATCTCCATGTATAATACATAAGGGGGGGATATGATCCCCATGTATAATACATAAGGGGGGATATGATCTCCATGTATAATACATAAGGGGGGATATGATCTCCATGTATAATACATAAGGGGGATATGATCACCATGTATAATACATAAGGGGGGATATGATCTCCATGTATAATACATAAGGGGGGGATATGATCTCCATGTATAATACATAAGGGGGGATATGATCTCTATGTAATAAAACATAAGGGGGGATATGATCTCCATGTATAATACATAAGGGGGGATATGATCAACATGTATAAATACATCAGTGGTTCATATAGTACTCCCTCAAGAGTTGGTTCTGGCCAGCTCAGTGGATTGCTTCAAAAAAGGCCTGGATTCTTTGTTTAGATACACAGAATATAACTGGTTACTAATATTTATAGGTAAAGTTGATTGCGGGAATATCCGATTGCCTCTCGGGGGATCAGGATGGATTTTTTTCCCCTGCAGGAGCAAATTAGATCATGCTTTTTTTTTTGCCTTCCTCTGGATCAACTGTGGGTGTAGGATTATAACTTTTTTTTTGGTTGAACTGGATGGGCTTTTGTCTTTTTTCAGCCAGACTAACAATGTAGCTTGGACTGAACTGACTAGCACTAAACAAAAGGGTAATTACTAAGAACAATTAGGTATGATAAAAAAGCAAAATGTGTGCTGCTGTTTCCTTGGCCTTCACTTTGGCTACAAACAACAAATCATGTACACCTATGTGGCATCACTGCGATCGTCAGAAGTAGGAGAATTTAATTTGGATTGTTCTTCTTGGTGTTGGGTGATGGTGTTGGCAAGAAATATACAGTTAAACTGTAACTCCACTTTTGTTGAGAAAAAAACATTCCCCTCTGGGTGATCTATGTACATTGCAAGGATTTTAACAAACTGTATTGCAGATTCCTACCTTTTGTTATTCTGAAGGAATAGCTAGCTGTTTGTCTGTATCCATGTGCAGAGTAAGGGCTCGTTCACACTTGACTGTTCTACCAACGCTTGCCAAACGCCCCTATAGCGTTTGGCAAGCATTGGTTTGGCATTTGCGGAGCGTTTTTAAACGCTCGGCAAACGCTCCACAAATGCCGCATGCGCAGTTTAACGGCGGTTGCTAGGCGTTTGTTGAGCGTTAAAAACGCCCCACAAACGCCTATAATGAGTGACGTTTGAATGGTGTTACAGCTCCACAAACGCCCCGCAACCGCGTCACTACTGCATCGCAAATGCCAGCCGGGCGTTTGCGGAGTTGCACCATAGACTAGAATAGGAGGCTTCAACGCCTCCTGACTCGACCAGAGGCGCCCCTTTTGCTGCGACGCAACGCTAACGCTCCCGTTAGAACAGTAACATGTGCAGCAATGTGCAGAATTGTCCGAGGCATTTGGGAAGTGGTAAAAACGCTTCCCAAACGCCTCTCTGCCGCCTGTACACAACGCTAGTATGAACTTAGCCTTAATTTGTATGGGAGAGGTTTTATATTTATCAGCTGCTGCACCTGCAGGGCTCTAATGAGGAAAGTGCCAGGGTCTGCAACCCTTTAGACGTGATTTCCCTTTGGGAGTATCTCACCAAAAATAACAGTTCTTGTTGCAGAGGATGCCCAAAATCTTACTTGTATCTTAGTGCAGACATGTGGGAAAACTAGTGAGCCAATCACACAAACTGGAAATTACATTACCATCTGTGTACAGAACATCCGCAAGCAGACATATTGCATTTTACAGAAAATGACAGAGCTGCAGATTGAACAGGAAAGGTAATTTTTATTAACGTTCAATAACTATATGACTTGTGTCACAATTGTATATGCTAATTTTTTTAATCTTTTTGCTCTTTTTTTCCCACGAAAGTGGAGTTATCCTCTAAAGTTCATTACTGTTTCAAGCAAGTTCTCCTTTAAATAAAATCAGAATCACCCAAAATTATTACCAAATGAAGGTCAAATTTTATCCTGAAAAAAAAAAAGGGATAATTCACCTGGAAACACTAGTAGTTACAATGATATGTAGTTTTACTGACTCATGCAAAAGTTGCAAAACTAGTTTGAGACATTAACATTTGTTTGGACCTCCATCCTTAAAGAGTAAGTGCACTTTTAGAAACCCCTTCTAGGGTAATCAATATACATTTTAGGGATTTTAACAAACTTTGAAGCAACTTCCTACCTTTTGTTACCTCATAGAAACAGTTGCTTGTTTCTCTTTGTCCTTTGCAGACTGACTCTGAATGGGAGGGTCTGGTTCATTATAATCACCTTATGCGCTCTCAGGCTGGATTCACACTTGCACGATTTGTAGCTTGAAGCTCGAAGCTCAAAAACGCTTCAGAAGAAAAAATCAATTATTCTATATTATTATATATGAGAAGGTTCTGGAGAATGATGATGAAGAAGATGATGATGATGATTATTATTAGAGATGAACGAATCGAATCAGGCGAAGTGGAATTCGTTTAGAATTTCAGGAAAAATTTGATTCGCATCGAATCCGAATTTTTGCCAACTTCGGATGGTCGAATTGAATTTTTCCTGATCGTCCGTTTTCATCCCTTCTACAGCCGGCAAAAATGTCCCTGCAGAGAGCTCCGCTATTTCTGACAGCTGTCTGACAGTTCATTCACATTTACAGCAGTTGAAACATTGTATGTATTTGTTTCCATTTAGGATACAGATGTTTTTATTAGGAAACAAATAGATACAATGTTTCAATCGCTGTAAATGTGAAAGAACTGTCAGAGAACTGTCAGAAATAGAGGAACTCTGCACATACACTTTTTGCTTTACTGGAATTATTCTTATTTTCATTCTTCTTCTTCTTCTTATTTTCATTCTTCTTTTCATTCTTTTCATTCTTCTTTTCATTCTTTTCATTCTTCTTTTCATTCTTCTTCTTCTTTTCATTCTTCTTTTCATTCTTCTTTTCATTCTTCTTTTCATTCTTCTTCTTATTTTCATTCTTCTTGTCATTCTTTTCATTCTTCTTTTCATTCTTTTCATTCTTCTTTTCATTCTTCTTCTTATTTTCATTCTTCTTTTCATTCTTTTCATTCTTCTTTTCATTCTTCTTCTTATTTTCATTCTTCTTTTCATTCTTTTCATTCTTCTTCTTTTTCATTCTTCTTTTCATTCTTCTTTTCATTCTTCTTCTTATTTTCATTCTTCTTTTCATTCTTCTTTTCATTCTTTTCATTCTTCTTTTCATTCTTCTTATTTTCATTCTTCTTTTCATTCTTTCTTCTTCTTATTTTCATTCTTCTTTTTTCATTCTTTTCATTCTTCTTTTCATTCTTTTCATTCTTCTTTTCATTCTTCTTCTTATTTTCATTCTTCTTTTCATTCTTTTCATTCTTCTTTTCATTCTTCTTCTTATTTTCATTCTTCTTTTCATTCTTTTCATTCTTCTTTTCATTCTTCTTCTTCTTTTCATTCTTCTTTTCATTCTTTTCATTCTTCTTTTCATTCTTCTTATTTTCATTCTTCTTTTCATTCTTTTCATTCTTCTTTTCATTCTTCTTCTTATTTTCATTCTTCTTTTCATTCTTTTCATTCTTCTTTTCATTCTTCTTATTTTCATTCTTCTTTTCATTCCTTTCATTCTTCTTTTCATTCTTTTCATTCTTCTTCTTCTTTTCATTCTTTTCATTCTTCTTCTTCTCATTCTTTTCATTCTTTTCATTCTTCTTCTTCTTCTTCTTCTTTTCATTCTTTTCATTCTTCTTCTTCTTCTTCTTTTCATTCTTTTCATTCTTCTTCTTCTTCTTCTTCTTCTTCTCCTTCTTCTTCTTTGGCCCCGTGACTGCCCAAATGAGTGAAGTGTGCGGTGATTCTAAGATCGACGGCACTCATCTGCATGTCATACTGACTGACAGTATTATTTCTCTTCCCCAGCAGACTCCAAGGACATTTAAATTAAAGGTACAGTGTTCTTCACTAATATAAAGGCTCTCTGAAGCCTAGAAACCCTTTTTATAAGTAAAATTTGCAGCGAATAAATTCGAATCGAATCGAATTTTTTCGGAAAATTCGGCGAATCAGGCGAATCGAATTTTTGAAAAATTCGCTCATCTCTAATTATTATTATTATTATTATTATTATTATCAACAATAATTTTTCTTGTGTTAGGGTAGGGGGTTAATTATTATTTATTTATTATTACATATTATTCATGTTATGTATTATTTTATTACTTATTTATTAATATTTGTATTTATTTTACATTCATTTATTAATGTATTATTATTATTAGTAGTAGTATTAACACCCTAACCCTAACAAGAAAAATGAGAACACAATACAGAAAATATTAACCCCACTCTACCCTACTCTAACAAAAACAAAATTATAATAAATTGATAATAATAATAATAATAATAATAATAAAAAGAAGAAATTAAAGCTGATGGAAAAGCTAAAGAAGCTGAAAAACATAGCAACAAATGATGCAACAGATTATATTTTTTCTATTTGCTCAAAAAAAAAAATGCCAAAGCTCAAAAACGCCTGAAAAACCCTATATGAAAACGTGTATAATCACGCAAGAACACGCAACAGCCATATGAATAGTTGCACAAAAATCAAGTGTGAAGCCAGCCTCAGTGTTCTAAAGAGAAATTTTGCAGTGTTTTTATATTCACATCTATGTCTACATTCACATCTATGCATTTTCCTCAGTGTTTTGCTATCCATATAACTTGATCTCCTACAGGACAGGTTCACATCTCTGCGTTTTCACCCGGCGCACTTTTTGGAAAGGGTCAGGGACTTTTTTAAAAACGTAAAACTTTGCTTTTTTGGTTCTATAGACTTCAATGGAGATGCTGCAGAAAATATTTTTGATGCATTTTTGATGTGTTTTTGATGGGGTTTGACTTTCAATCTGCCTAGCAACAAGAAAAAAAAAGCAAAACACATAACAAACACAGCAAAAATGCATGTGAAAACATGCAAAAAGCACTGCAGAAACGGATCAAACGCAAACTGTATAGGTGTGAACCTAGCATCAGACATATTTAACCCTTTGGGACAGGGGCGGACAGACCATTTGGAAACTTGGGCACTGCCTGAGGGCCCGGGGTCAGTAGGGGGCAGGGGCGGACTGACCATTTGGAAACTCGGGCACTGCCCGAGGGCCCGGGGTCAGTAGGGGGCCCCATGAGATGCCCCTGGTACCTTTTTCATAGGCTTTTTTGAGTTTGGGCAAGGACACAGGGACCCCATGATCCCCTATTGCCCGGGGGCCCCATGAGTTGTCAGTCCGCCCCTGGTAGGGGGCCCCATGAGATGCCCCTGGTACCTTTTTCATAGGCATTTTTGAGTTTGGGCAAGGACACAGGGGCCCCATGATCCCCTATTGCCCGGGGGCCCCATGAGTTGTCAGTCCGCCCCTGCTTGGGGAGTATCTCACCAAAACTTAAATTCATATTGAAGTGGGTGCCTAAAATTAGACTTCTGGGAAAATCAATGAGCCAATCACATAAACAGGAAATTATGTTTCTGGGGGTGCACGGAGTGCTTCCAGGTTGCCATTTTGTATTGTACTTTAAATAAATTTACAGCGTCTGCAGATTGAACAGGAAAGGTGATTTTAATAACCTTAAATTACAGTATGGCTTGTGTAGCAATTGCATTTTCTATATCATTATTATTTTTTTATTTACTATTTCTTTCCACAAAAGTGGAGTTACCCTTTAAGGGGCCATTATTTCCAATATTGGCCCTGTAGTGTTCTTTGACGACTCACAATCACACGTTTCTCTCTATATAACCACAATTAGTGCTCAGTATTTCCGAAAATTGATTTACCTGTCAGAAACAAGCTGCTAAATTGTTCTTTCATTTGGTGGCCAGCTGTAGAAGTCTAATTTGGCGCTGGCCCCTGATGACGACAATTTCTATAGAAACATGAATATCGGATTGCTAGAACTCATTTTCATTTGTGTTTTTTCTGAACAAAGCACAGGACACAATTTCCAAAGCATATGGATAAACATTTGAAACATCTGCTCACAGAAGGTGTGAAATATAACTCGGGAACATACACCAAGGCACTACGAATGAGGCATGTTTTGTTTCTTAAAATACAAAGCAGAGATAGAGATCCTTTAACAATTTATTTACAGGTGTAAGGGTTATTAAGGGTCCAGGTAAACAGCAAAACACACAGAAGAAATGCTGATATGAGAGCTGTTTTACCTGCCAAAGGATTTGTATTGATGTCTATCCATTCCTGAGATTTATTCAGACCTGCCAGATAGCACAGCCAGTTTTGATACCTGTTTACTGCAATTAAGTTATACTGAAATGAAGCAATGCAACTGGGTATTGTCACTGCCCCTGCACCCTGATTGGACAGTGAAAAAAAAGCAGAATACTAATAAGCCAATCTCTCTGAACTCTTCTCCTGTCAACATGTTCATGAGCATGTCAACAGAACTTATTGGCTCCTTGTGCTGCTTCCCCCCTCTCCCAGAGTTCTATTTTAACCACTTGCTGACTTGCCGCAGTGCATTTATTGCTGCAGGTTGGCTCGTACCGGCACAATCCCGTATTTGTATGTCGCAGCTTTCTTCTGGGTCCACTCGCGCATGCGTGCGTGGACCAGGAAGACCACGCTGTCATTCACTGCAGCACAAGCCAATCATCGAGTCCCGGCCAATGATTTATAGCTGGGATCCACTGATCGGCTGAGTGAATAACAGAAGAGAGCCCTGTGTTGGTAAACAACACAGGGCTCTCTACAGACAGCAGCGATGTGCTGTTTTTTTCTCCCTGCAAAGCAGGGAGTAAAAACTGGCATGTTGATTAGTAAAACAGCACACAGTGCACACACTAAACATTATTAGGCACACATTTCACCTCTAGATGTTAATCTCTTCCAAGCTAGTGTCGTTATATAGTATATAGCAGGGGTGGACTGACCATTTGAGCACTCGAGGGCCCGGGGTCAGTAGGGGGCCCCATGAGATGCCCCTGGTACCTTTCATTGGCTTTTTCATAGGCTTTTTTGGGTGTGGACAAGGAAACAGGGACCCCATGATGCCCTATTGCCTGGGGGCCCCATGAGTTGTCAGTCTGCCCCTGGTATATAGTGTCTAGTATTATCACTGATCACTGTATTAGTGTCAGTGGAGATGTCAGTGTCAGTTAGTCACTTCTCTCCCAGCGTAAGTTACTGTCAGCTTGTCGGCACACTATCGCAGTCCCACTATAAGTCGCTGATCGCTGCCATTGCTAGTATAAAAAAAAAAAAATCCAGTATCTATACCATAGTTTGAAGATGCTATAACTTTCATGCAAATCAATCAATATACACTTATTGGGATTTGTTTTTTACCAAAGACGTAGCAGAATACATTTTCCTCAAAATTTATGAAGAAACTTGATTTTTTAAATCTTTATTAGATTTGTTTTATAACAGAAACAAGAAAATATTGTTTTCTTTTTTTTTTAAATTTTATTTTATTTTATTATACCACAAAATAGTAAAAAAAACAATGGTGATCAAATACCACCAAAAGAAAGCTCTATCTGTGTGAAAAAGATTATATACATTTCTTTTGCGTGCAGCATTGCATGACTGTTCAATTACCAGTTAAGGGCTCATGTATACTGCAGCTGCTAAACTGATGTTGTTTACAGGCAGTTGAGTTTACAGTAGTTTTTTAACGTATCAAATTTGCATTCAGGAGTAGATTTTACCGGCGTTTCAAACGCTTGTAAACGCGCGTAAATGCTTGTAAACGCGGTTAGCCGCGTTTGTAAGCGTTTGCGTTTAGAAGTGTTTTTTAACTGTTCCATATCCAGATGCTGTCCAGAGCCTTTTTTTCATCATCAGAAATGCATCAAAGCATTTTCCATGTATTCAAATGGACCCGGTACACCAGTGCAGTCAGTTCCAGGTTTCGCGTGAAGGAAAAAATGGTAGAACGCACCACATTACACTCATGATGGGATCCATAGTGAATACAACCAGAAAAGACAGGTCATCTCAACACATACTGCTCTCTCTGCTTCTGCTTTCTCTAGTTCTCTCAAAATGTCCGAAATAGTTAATTTTTTACTATTTTTCAGTGCATTCAGGGCATTTGGGAAGGTCTCCTGAGGTTACTTTTTAAAAACGCTTCTAAACGCAAACGCGCATAAACGGAGTATGCAAACGTGGCTAACTGACGTTTTTTAACCTACATTTTTCAGCAGTCAGTTTCCATTGTTTAGAAGAGTTTTACAAACACCCCATGTACATGAGCCCTAAAGGAGCGCAGCGCTAAATAGCGAAAAATGGCATTCTGATGAAAGGGGTAAAATCTTCTGGATCTCCAGTGATTAAAGAGGTTAATACCATTAGAATTCTGCTACTTAAACTAGCTTTGTTGGCCATTGGTGGCAGCTTTGGCATGTAAACTGACACCCAAATTTCATAGTGTGTTTGTTTACTGTAAAATCGCCAAATCTTTTCTCTGTTTGTAATGTGGTGCCTAACTCTCCCTCCAATCACCGCATGTCATAGCCTCATCTCTCCTGCCTGGGGGTCTGGGATCTCCAAATAAAGAGCGTTTGCTGATCTTCCTTGGATAGTATGAACCCGCAGGTTCTCAGCTCTGAGCCCTTCCAGGTTCACAGCTGTCATCCCCTGCTCTGAATGGGGTAGAAGCTGACTGGACACAATATGTACTTGATTAACTTAAACAAGTGATGAGGAAAGATTAGGGGTCTAATAGACCTCTGATGTCTTCTAAAAGAAAACCTGAATCACCTGTGACAGACATAAATTTAAGTAAAAAAAAAAAAAGAAAAAGTACAAAAAAAGTAAACTTTAATAAAATAAATTAAAAACTCTTCCCCCACCACCCCCCATACATGCGCTGTGAATGTCACAGTGAGAGCAATATTTCACTGTTCTAAATTACAGTGTTGCATATGGACACATGGAGATTCCTACCTTTTGTTACTCTGAAGAAATAGCTGTTTGTCAGTGTCCATGTGCAGAGTGAATCTGTATGGGAGAGGTTTTATAATTATCAATGAGCTGCTACACTTGCACGGCTCTAATGAGGAATGCATAATTTTAGACATGATTTCCCTTTGGGAATATCTCACCAAAAATGACATTTATGTTGCAGTGATGCCAAAAATTTGAATTGTATCTTTAGTGCAGACTTCTGGGATCTAATGAGGAATGCATCATTTTAGACATGATTTCCCTTTGGGAATATCTCACCAAAAATTACATTTATGTTGCAGGGATGCCAAAAATCCGACTTGTATCTTTAGTGCAGACTTCTGGGTAAATCAGTGAGCCAATCACACAAGCAGGAAATTACATTTTCAAGGGGCCATCTGTGTACAGAACCCCTCCAGATTGCCATAATACATTGCATTTTACAGAAAATTACAGCACTGAAGGTTGAAAAAGAAAGGTCATATTTAAGCACATTCAATTATAATATGACTTGATTTGCAATTGCATACACTAATATTATTTTTTTATTATTATTTTTTTTTATTTGCTATTTTTATTCCCATGAAAGAGGAGTTACCCTTTAAGGTAAAAAAAAAAAAAAAAACCTCATGCTTTTAGAACCAATTTAAGGATGCACAAGTAAGCAAAAAAATTAAAAATGGTTCTGCATAATACACATACTCTATGCATTATTCCAAATGGGTCCTTAATATTTATTATATAATCTGTAACCTGATTACAAACCATTTATGAAGCCGTTTTCTTGAAGCTGTAAAAGCATCCTTGGACTGTAGCATGAAGCAGTTGGCAGCAAAAAAAAAAGAAAAAAATTAGGAAAGAGAATGGCATTACAGAACGGCATGTGATTAATTCTTTAACAAATTCTACTCTCCTTACAAAATGACAGGTACACTTAAGTTACAGCAGTTTATATTCTAACCAAAGTTTCCATTTAAATAATAAACACAACAACCACATAGGAAAATCACAGACGACTGTGCGGCATAAGGAATGATTACTTTCAATTAGCAATTTGCTTGAAGCAAACAAATGACTTTTATTGCATCACATTCATAATATGTTACTTTACTGAGAAAATGATTTATTTAGGCATTCTTCTAACTCAACATAATACAGACCGCTAAAGTCTTAAAAAAAAAATTAAATGTACTAAAGTTTGTCTAAACATATAGCTAAAATCCAGGCAGATATTAAAAACACCAAAACAAAACAAAAAAAAATGCATCTCTGTATTTGTTAGTACATCACTACATTTATTTCTGTAAAAATAATCAGTGTAGGTATCTGGATCAGACTTGGTATCAACCTCCAGCAGTCCATGTACAGCAGAGTTTAGAGTGGGAAAGGAAAAAGCAGCACAAGTAGCCAATCAGTTCATGTGGAGGGCAGAGTGACAGATAATTGAGCTCATCAGTCTGCTGCTTCGAGGTTGAGGGAGGGTCCACGACAGCCTTGACTCAGAGAAAGTATAAGAAGACGCTGCCTGTCATTCAATTCAGAAGACTGAGGGTAACTAGTGGCAGAAAAAAAGTACTACAGGTTATAGTTCTGGATTTATGTAGTACTAGAGCAGGGGTCTCCTAACTTTCTAAACAAAGGGCCAGTTTACTGTCCTTGAGACTTTAGGGGGGCACAACTTTAGCTATTCGAAGTAGAAAAGGTCCGGACGTCAGTGGGAATAGACAATGCCCCAACTTTGTTGTCATTGGGAGGAATTGCGGCCCATTATAGGTGTCATTGGGAGGAATTGCGACCCATTGTTGGTGTCAGTGGGAAGAATTGTGCCCCATCATTGGTCTCATTGGGAGGAATTGTGCCTCATCATTGGTCTCATTGGGAGGAATTGTGCCTCATCATTGGTTTCATTGGGAGGAATTGTGCCCCTTTATTGGTGTCAGGGGTGGGGGAGTTATGCCTCATTGTTGGTATCAGTGGATGAAATTGTGCCCAAAGGATCAGATAAAAGCAAGCAAACCCACATGGAAAAAAATATATTTGAAATATATTTAAAAAATATTCTTCCCAAATATATTGACATATATTTGAAATGCTACAATTTTGGTCATATTCAATATATTTCAATATATATATATATATATATATACAGCATGTTGAAATGCGTTTTATTAAAAAATATATGAAAAATATTTTTAAAAATACATTTCAAATATACTGTATGTCTTTAAAAATACAAATCTACATTTTTGGAATGCATTTACAAATATATGTAAAAATATATGTTAAAATAACTTTTTTATATGTTTAAAAAATCTGAAGAATATATTTTTAAAATAATATATATTTTTAGACATTTTTTATTGAAATATATTTTGAAATATATTGACAATGGCCAAGATTGTACCAGTTCAAATATATGTCAATATATTTGGGAAGAATATTTTTAACAAATATTTCAAATATATTTGTCTTCCATATGGAAAGGGCCACATCTGGCCCCCGGGCCACAGTTTGGAGACAACTGTACTAGAGCAAGAGCTGTTTTTCTTTTCTTTTCTGTTTTAATGGGCCATTCATTTTTTTTTACTCTAGTTCTGCTTTAAATGATAGATTCTACAAAAAGTGCAGACGGATCACTTTACTTACCTTTTTATATTTTTCTTGATTTGCACATACAGGCCAAGCTGGACAAGGACAGGGGTTGGGAGCAATAAACAACAATGTTTGTAAATCTCTAGAGCCTTATTCAAAGTGTTAATTTACCTTTCCAGAAAAAAAATGAAAAGGTGAATTAACATCATACACCCTCCTCATCCCCTCCCCCAGTCCCTACTGCACTTACCTCCCATGATGGCAAGGTGTCAGCGCTTCCAAAGCTGGTTCAGTGGTCTGTGGATTTGAAATCCCTGTTCTTTTCTGCGCTGACCAATCAGAATCGATTTGGTCCATCCTGGAAGAGCTGTATAGAGAGGAACAGAAGAGTGGGGATTTCAAATCCCCAGATCCCTGGACTGGCAGTGGGGGGCCCTGACAGCTCAACATTAATAATGGGTATAAAGTAAGTTAAACACACAAACGGCGCCCCACCGCGCCCCACAATGCACTGTTCCCTGACAGTGCATTGTGATAGGCCAAAGCATTGCACCTGACCACAGGTCAGGTGTAATGCTTT